CGTGCGCTGAGCGGTGGGGCTGGGGGAGCGGGGGGGGGATGTGAGCATCTCTGCGGGTGAGCGGGAGCCGGGGGGATCAGAAGGGAGAAGAGCGGTGGGGAGCAGCGGGGGGGCATTGCAGGGGTGCTGGGCTATTGCAGGGTGCTGGGGGCCGGGCAGCCCTTGAGGCTGGAGCCCCCACATGGGAGATGGGTGCGGGCAAAGCGCGTGGTTGGAGCCCCTGGTGGGATGCAGTTCTAGGGAGCACATCACAGCGTCGGCTTTGCTGGGGAGTCCCGTGCCGCCCGCTCCCTGGGCACAGCAGCACGCTGGGTCAGGCCGTGAGCCCACCGAGGGCTGCTGCCAGCTGTGCTCAGTGCCCCCGCACCGGAGATGTGCCTTTCCTACGGGGCGATGCCGGCCTCAGCCTCGCCGCGCAGGCGGGACGTGACCCGGTGCGGATTTCAGCCCATCCATTCTTAGCCTCTGCCCTTTCCCGGCTGTAACACGACCTGACGGATGGCCGCGGCCCCTTCGGCCCCGGTCTGGCCGGTTTGGGGACAGCGAGGTGACGCGGTGTGGCTGAGCAGGTGGGGTGCTGCGGGGCTGGGTGCGGGCAGGCGGCATGGCCAAACCCACAGCAAGGAACTGGAAGGACAGCAGGGTGCAGCAACCCCCCCCTTGGGCACGGAGAACGGGCTCGGTCTTCAAAAGCATCCCCTCCAGCACGCGGGGAGCTGCAGGAACGTAGGATATCGCCTCCATCTCTCAGTGTCCTGGTGCCATGTGTGACCCCAAGCCGGTTTCCGGCTGCCAGGCAGCACCCCGGGCATGGGGATGTGGGCAGGGCAGGGCAGGGTGCTGGTATTGTCACCTTGCGTCACCCGGCAGTGCCGGCACAGGGCGGGTGGCTGCCGGCAGCGAGGTAGGCGATGGCTGCAGGAAGTGAGGTCCCAGCTCCTGGAGCCATGGAATTCGGGCAGCATTGTGCCTTTCTTGTATATTTTAGAAATTTTATATATTTTAGGGCCGAGTTGGGGAACGGTAATGCTAGCAGGGGGGAAACCCTGTTCCCCAGCGTGGCCCTAAAGCTCCATTTGAGATCTGCTCCATCCCACCGTGGAAGCAAAGGGAGAGCTGTTGTCCTGGCAACATCCTCCCCAGGCCTCAGTGCTGGATACCCTGTGTCCCCGCCGTGCTGCTCACTCTGCTCTGCTTCCCTTGCAGCCTCAAGTGCTCCTCCACCCAGACAGCAGCAGCATGTCGACAGGTGAGTGCTTTGCATCTGTGCCTTTTGCATCCATTCCTTCCATCCCCTTTGGATCCACCCCCCTTGCACCTGATCCCTCGATCCCCCTTGGCATCCTTCCTCTCCAACCCCTGTTGCCTCCATCCCTTATATCTCATTGTATATACTCAGTTTTTCCTCCTTGTGTCCATCTCCTGCATCCTTTTTGCATTTGTCTTCTCTGTCTCTCTTGCATCTAAACCCTTGGTTCCCCTTGTGTCCATCCCCTGTGTCCATCTGTTCTCTCTGTTCCTCTTGCGTCTAATCCCTTAGTTCCCTTTGCATCCACCCATCTGTCCCCCCATCCTCCTATGTTATACAGTTGTGTCCATCACTTGTCCCCTGCCATGCCCATCTCTTTTCTCCCCCTTGCATCCGATCTCTCAGCCCTTTGTGCCTGTCTCCCATGTCCTCTTTGTATCTGTCACCTCTGTCCCTCTTGCATCTGATCCTTATGTCCCCTTTTGTGTCTGTCTCATGTTCTCTTTCCATCTATCTCCTCTGTTTCCCTTGTATCCAAGTCCTCAATCTCTCATCCATCCCCAGTGTCCCCCCCTTGTGTCCATCTTCTATGTTCTCCTGTCGTGTCCATCCCCTCTGTCTCCCCCTCGTGTCCATTCCGTGTCCTCTTTCCATCCCTTATGTCCACTCCCTGTCCCACCATTGCCTCTGTCCCATTTCTCCCCCTTGCTTCCCTCCATCTCCCACGTACCCCATGTCTCCTGCCCTCCCCCCCCCACCAGCCTCTTGGCTCCCTCCCAGCCCTGGGCTCACCGGCTGCTGAAGGAGCTGAAATTTCAGAAGACTGAGATCCAGAGATGGGCAGTGCAACCCTGAAGTGGCTCACATTATTTTTAGCTCCCTCCCTCTGCACTGTCAGATCCCAACGCACGTCAGGGATGGATCCTGCAAGGGGGGGGCGGAGGGAGGGGAAATCCTGCAGGGAAAACCCCCCTGTTCTGTGGGCTGGAATGCCCCAGGTGGATGGGGCTATGCCATTTCTGGGAGCAGTCAGACTCCATGGGGTTGTTCCACGCCGTGCCATCCTGCACCAAGCAGGACTAGAAGCTGGCCATGGGGATGGATGTGGCTGTCCCTGCTGGTTCCCATCTCTCAGTGGGGCTGGGGACAATGACCGTCTCCAGGATGCAGTGGAATTCCGAGCCCACAGCTCAGCCCCACAGCTGCCAAGGCACCGTGGGGTCTCAGTGCTTGAGCATGTCCAGTTTTAATGTCCTGGATTGTCCAGGTGACAGGGATGGGTGCTTCCTACTCTGCCCTCCCTGGGGTTGGTCCTCACCACCCCTCGTTCAGTCCTGCTGGGGACAGTTTGCTCCCTGGTGTAACTTCCAGCTTTTAGATTAATTGTTGTTTTTTTTCTTTTTTCTTTTTTTTCTCTCCACCAGAAAAACTGAAGCACCACAAGATCATCTTTGTGGTGGGTAAGTGGGCTTGGGACAGAGCTGGCTGGTGTGGGGTGTGCTGGGACCAGCAGGATCTAGCAAAGCTTGGGGTGCCAGCATCCAATGTGATGTGATGGCAAACTCCTGGGAGTGATGTCATGGGTGCTTGATGGGGTGGTGATGTCCAGGGTGCCGTCAGGAGAGTGATGTCTTGGATATTGGTCACGGTGCCTCTGGTGCCATCAGGGCAATGATGCCCATGGCTCATCAGCCACACCAGCAGCCCACGCCACCCCAACAGCTCTTTCCATCCATCCCGTCTCCTTTCATCAGGCTTTGATGGACCTGGGCTGCCTCTCCTCCTACCCCCACTAGATGGGGCATGGGACATGACGGTGGCCCTGGTGTGACTTGCAGGTGGCCCCGGCTCGGGAAAGGGGACGCAATGCGAGAAGATTGTGCACAAGTATGGGTACACTCACCTCTCCACTGGGGATCTGCTCCGGGCAGAGGTCAGCTCGGGCTCGGAGCGGGGCAAGAAGCTGCAAGCCATCATGGAGAAGGGCGAGCTGGTGCCCCTGGTGAGTTTGTGGCCGTGAACACAGGGTGACGTGGGGACACTATAGTGATGCAGCAGCAGGAATGGGGCACGTGGTCCCACATCACCCTGACAGCCATATGCCCCCTCCCCAGGACACGGTGCTGGACATGCTGCGGGACGCCATGCTGGCTAAGGCAGACACCTCCAAGGGTTTCCTCATTGATGGCTACCCCCGCGAGGTGAAGCAGGGAGAGGAGTTCGAAAAGAAGGTGAGAACAGTTCCCCCGATGTGCGCCACGTTGTGTCGTGCCACCTTCCATCTGCAGGCTGCACGATGCTGGCACTGCAGTGAGGGGACAGCTGGGCTGCACCCAGGGCTGGCAGAGGGTGACTGGGGTGATGGCCGTGCTGTCCCCTCCAGCCTCCAGCCCCACCTGGAGGAGACGTGGGGACACCCAGACCACACGGTGACAGCTGTGTCCCCGCAGATTGGCCCCCCCACACTGCTGCTCTACGTGGATGCGGGGAAGGAGACGATGGTGAAGCGGCTGCTGAAGCGGGGAGAGACCAGCGGGAGGGTGGACGACAACGAGGAGACCATCAAGAAGCGCCTGGAGACCTACTACAAAGCCACCGAGCCCGTCATCACCTTCTACAAGGGCCGGGGCATCGTCCGCCAGGTGAGCGGGATACGGAGAGGAGGGGGCAAGCAATACATGGGGGTGGCCGAGCCCCAACCCCCCCCAGCATCGCTGAGGGTACCGACACCCCATCACTGTCCCCGCAGCTGAATGCCGAGGGCACCGTGGATGAGGTTTTCCAGCAGGTCTGCTCCTACCTCGACAAGCTGTGACGGCCCCGCGCCCCCCACCCTGCGCTCCCCCCGCACGCGCGGGGCAGAGACAGCGGAAGTGGCCTTATCCTGTTTTCGTGGACAGAGCCGCGCGAAGGAAATTTCAAGGACATTGTGTTTGGCTCTTTCCCGTCTCTCCCCAGTAAAGTTCACTTTAATGAGCCCGAACTTTATCTTTTTCTTCTGTCGCAGGAAATGAGTTTTTCTTTCCAGAGATTTTTGTTTCTAGCCCTCCCCCCCCCCCCCCCCCCCCCCCCCCCCCCCCCCCCCCCCCCCCCTCCTCCCCCTCCCTCAGCCAGCCCCTCTCTGAAGCTGATTAAGGGCAGGAAGCGGGTGTTTATCCCGGCTGCGATGCTGTGGGCCGGGGGATGCTTGGAGGAAGGGAGGGAGCATCCCGACTGCTTGCCCCTGGGGCTGCGTCCTGGCCCCGTCCCGCTCTCCCCAACCCCATCTCTCTCCTCTGCTCTGCTTCTGCATCCCTTGGGCAGCATCCCACCCCGTCCCTCCTCCTCATCCCATCAGATGGTGATTTCTGCCACTTCCACCATTTCTTTGCTGCTTTTATCCATTGGGGTGTTTGGGGATGCCCACATCCTTCTTCATCTCATAGGATGGGGATTTCCATCATCTCCTCACTGCTTTTGCCCATTGGGGTGCATGGCTGTGCTGCTGGCTGCCCTCCTTCCAAGCACACAGGCTCATTGCTGTCACACTGTGCCTCTGGGCTGGACGTCACCTGGGGCAGAGGGATGCTGTGTGGACGTGCATCTTAGCACAGCCACCAAATTGGTGTCCTCATGGGTGGGGGGTAACACTCATGGGGGGGCTAAATATCTCAGGGATGTGCTGCAGAACTGAATATGGGGGATGCTGGCATTGGGAACGTGGAACTGAGGGTTCCCCAGTCCCAGAGCTGCCTGCAGTGTGCATTGCAGCCCCTTGGTGTTCCTAGACAGGGTGAGGGCAGCAGGTGACAGAGCCATGACCTCCCGGCACTGCTGGCTTTGGGGCTGCCATAAATCAGGCACGGGGTGGGCAGCAGCTCGGGGGCAAGCCAGGTCACCGAAATGGTGCGGAGGAAGGAAACGTGCTGGGGGGGGGGGGGGGAACAAAAATTCCCCTAGAAAAATTCCTGAAGGAAAAAAAAAACAATTCCAAGCTCGCCAGTCTCAGACGTCAGCCGGGTGCCCAGGGGTGAAGCAACCATGAGCAACGGCGGGGCCGCGGCGCTGCGGGGAGGCGGCGGGCAGGAAGGATGCGGCCATCCGGCCGGGGCTGGGGCGCTGCCAGCACCGCGAGGCGCGTGTCGCTGGGGGCGAGGGGCCAGGAGGGGTGGGGGGCAGCGGGTTAAAGCCGGGTGGGGGATGGAGTGAGTCGGTATTCCTCGTGCCTTCGTCCCTCTCGGGGTGTGAGGTGAGCCTGAATCGGTTTCCCCGCACGGTGAGCAGGGCTAGGGCGTCCTGATTGCTCCCGTGGATACAGGGGTGCAGGGGATGCTCAGGCTCGGCGCTGCTGCCTGCACCCGTCCCCGCGGTCCCCAGGAGATGGCAGTGCTCTGTCGCGGGAGATGGCTGCTGCTCGCCCCGGGGACGTGCTGGGGGGACAGCGGTCACCTCGAGGACGTGCTGCTGCTGGGGACGGGCCTGCTGCCTTCCCTGCAGGTCCCTGCGCCGCTTCCTCCCCACGGCCTTGGAACGGGATGGAGCCACCCCAGTGTGCGTTCAGCAGGGACGGGGCAAGGCTGCAGGAATGTCCCTGTAAGCACCCTGCTGGTCTCTGGCTCCCACCTCGGTACTGTTGTGACCCAGGACTATCCCCAAAACCCAAACCTGCCTGCAAGCAGGGATGCTGTGGCAGTTCCCAGCTGTGGGCATGCACAGGGCTGGTGGCATTGCTGTGGGCCCCACACATCTGGCAGCAGCCTCAGACCTGGTGCCCAGTGGGGCACTCACTGCTGGGGAATAACTACGCATGGGCTGAGTGTCAGCTCCATGGGGCAGCCTGTGTCACCCTTGCATTTGGGCAGTAGCACACAGAGCAGCCCCCTCCCCAGTCCTAAGCCGTGTGGGGTTGTAACGGAGGGCAAGATGGGCTCTCTGGCATCTGAACATCCTCAAAGGAGGAGCTGTGATCACTAACACTCTTGCTCTGTGCTACTACCCCAAAAGGGGTTCCAGGGCATACCCACTGACCCCATCCCTCGGGACTCAGCGCTGGCAGCAATACCCACTCCCCAGTGGGGAAACCGAGGCACGGGCCCCCCTCACTTCACCCAGCCCCCCGCTCCCTTCCACCCCCCCCCGTCACCCGGCACGGCTCCAGCGCTGCGGAGCGGCATTTCCTCCCGGCACGGAGCCGCGCCGCCCGCCGACCCTCCTCCTCCACCTCCTCCTCCTCCTCCTCCTGCCGAAGGGAGTCGGTTTCCTGCCGCCGCCGCCCGCTCACTGCGCTCAGGGTTCGGGACAGAGGCCGGGATGTGCCGTCGGAGCTCTCCGCTGCTGCCGCTGCTGCTGGCGCTGCTCTGCCGTCCCGGTGAGTGGGGCCGGGGGGTCCCGGCGGTGTGCGGAGCACGGGAGGGGACGAGGGCGAGGAGGTGCCCGGAACGCGGCGGGATCAGCCAGGAGCTGTGCCCCGCCGTGAGGCACGCGTACCGGGCACGGGGATGGGACCCTGCTGGCGTGGAACGGACCCCTCTGACATGGGACCCTGCTGACATGGGACCCTTTTGATACGGAACCCCTCCAGCGGCCCCAAAGCCCGGCAGTGTCACCGGCTATGCGTCAAAGCGGTGCGGCTGCTGCTCCCTTCCTGAGAACAGCACACAGCGGGTCCCGGGGTGGTCCCAGTGGCACCAGAACACCCACCCAGGCGGCTGCGCAGGGATGGGAGCCCCAAAAGCACCCTGCCGTTGGTGGCTATGGAGATGGGCACTGTTCTGCTGCCTTCACTTCAGCCCAGCAGTGCTGACGCTGCCCTCACCCCGTGACCGCTGCGGGTTCACAGGGAGGGTCTGTAGGGCACAGCAGCCAGCAGGCAGAGGGCTGGGGACATGGGGACATGCCATGCTGGGGTGGGACAGGGACAGAGTAGTGCTAGGACAGCAGCAGTGCTGGGATGCCCTACAGTCCTGTCCTGGGGTTTGTGCCATGCAGGCCATGCTTTATGGGGCTGTGCTTGTGTGGACCCCATCCTATGTAGTTGTGTCATACTTGTCCTACAGCTGTAGATCATAAGATCTCCATCCAATGTAGCTGCACCATAAGGCCCATGTCCTATGTAGCTGTGCCATACTGTCTGTGCCCTCCATAGCTGTGCCATACTGTCTTTGTCCTATGGCTGTGCCCTGTGGTCCCCATCCTACATAGATGTGCAGTAAGGTCTGTGTCCTATGCAGCAATGAGGTATGGTCCCCATCCTGTAGCCGTGCCGTATGGTTTGCGTAGCACAGAGCAGTGTCATATATTCCCCATCCCATATAGCTGTGCTGCTGGGCCTCCATCCTTTGCAGCTGCGGAATCAGTCTCTGTCCTGAGCAGCTGTGCCAAACAGCTGCTGTGCCATGTCCGTTGTACTTGTGCCATTTACTCTGCATCCTGTGTGGCTGTGCCATACTGTCCCTGCACTAACATGATTCTGCTACATGAGCTGTGTTCTACGTAGCTTTGGTCCCCATACTACTCAGCTGTGCCTTCTGGTCCCTGTCCTACTTAGCTGTGCTGTATGCTATATGGTCCTCATCCTATGGAGCTGTGCTATACTGTCCCACATAGTGACATAAGGTAGTTCCTGTCCTTCCTATCTGCTTTATGACCCTTTGTTTATTTATCTGTGCCATGTGGTCCTTGTCCTGAGTGTTCAGTGCGGTTCCTGCCCTATACAACCAATCAGTAAAGTCCCTGTAATATGTAACTGTGCCTCTATAGTCCTTGTCCTGTGTAGCTCTGCCATATAGGCCACATCCTACAATGTGGCAGTTCTACACCATGCCCACCACCTGCAGCTGTGCTATATGGCCCCCATCCTATGTGGGTGCACCATAGCACCCCTGTGCCATGTAGCTGTGCCTTCTACCCCGTGCCCTATGTAGCTGTGCTGTACACCCTGTGTTGCCACCTCCCCATCGCACAGCAGCCTGTGATGACCCAGGGATGACAACCCCCAGGCTGCTGCTCTCCCTCCATTCCCACTCCTGGAGCAGCTGAGCCCTGCCAGCTCATTGCACGAATGTCAGCAAACCGTGCTGCCTGGGAGCATCCAAAACCTGGCATCCCCAGCCTGGCACCCTGGCACCACAGGGCTTTGTTCTGTGCCTGGAGCCTTTGATCCACTCCTATAAAAAAACAGGAATCCCTCACACGCCGGGGCGACACAGCAGAGAGGCCGAGGGCGGGCGGTGGGAGGCTGAAAAAACATCAAGTGGGTTTTCTTTCTTTCTTTCTTTTAATTTTTTTTTTTTTTTTTTTTACATTTCCTGGAGTACAAAAATAAATGCCCCCTTATCTGATTGACCCCGCGGGCGCAGGCTGGGCCCAGCTGAGCGCCCTTATCTGATCCTGACATCATGCCGCGGAGCACTGCCTGCCTCTGGGGGCAGCGCCCGCTTGGCACCACTGCCCCAGTGCCCCTCTGCAGCATCCCTGCTCTGTGTGGGGCTGCACGGCTGCATCCTGGCAGCGTGTCACCGGAGGGGTGACGAACCCTCCGACATGCCCTGTGATGCCGGGGATCGGGGCCGTGCCCGGTGCCGCCGGGGCAGCAGTGCAGGGAAGAGTGCGGCGGGCTGCGGCGCCCAGATAAGAGGCTGTTTATCTTCCTCCCGATGCTGCGACTGCTGCGCCAGGGGGAGGAAGCGCTGGACAATAGTTGGGACCTCGGCAGCGTCACCGCGGGGCCTGTGCTGTGACCCCGCCGCCTCGGCCTCACCACCCCAACGTGGCTCTGGGACGGCACGCGTGGCTCTCAGCCCATCCCCGACATAGGGTGTCCCTGGCACAGGGCATCGCCTCCTCCTGTGGGATGCCCTGGCACAGGGCATCGCCTACTCATCGTCCCATTGGGCCCCCCTCAGAGAAGGGATGGCGCTCCTGGTCACATCTGAACCAAACGCAGCACTCGTGGTCCCACAGGGCATCCACAGCAGGGCCATCCATGTGTGCCCCAGCACTGGGACAGCTCGGGGACGGCGCTGCCCAGGGCAGGGGAAGTGCCCCAGGCCGTCACCTCTGCGTTTGCAGGACCAGAGCTGCAGGCAGCGTTCTGCAGTCAGGATTTCCCTTGGCAGCTGCAGCACGTGGACGGTCAGTGTCAGCGCCGCCCGCCTCGCACCTCCGCAGGGACAACCCGGTGCCATTTCTACACCTGGCCCTTCCGATTTCCTGCCGCAGCGGGGGCTGGGGAGGGCCAATCACTGGGGGAAGCTGCACGGGGACAGTGTTTTTTTCCAGACCGGATCTGAGGATCATTAATGGGACCAAACTAGCCAGCTCCAGGCGGGTGTCGCAGCACAGCCCCTCTTGCACGTCCCCTGTCCCCACACCACCAGGCAGTGACTGATGTCCCTTTGTTTTCTGCCCAGACCCTGCTCCAGCTGAGCACTGCGACTTGCAGCCGGTGACAGCAGAGCCTCCCATCACGCTGTCCTACACCACCAGCACGGTGCTGCGGGGCTGCGTCAGCAGCAGCTCTGTACAGACTGGACATGAAGTGCACGTCCTCAGCATCCAGTGGTCCAAGGTGAGCCAGGTCCTTTTCCAGCTCCCCCTGGGGAAACGCAGTTCTGGCACTGTGGGACCAGCAAGCAGTGAATGTAGCTGAGGCTGCTGTCAAAATCGTTTCCTCTGAGTAACGAGCAGCGAGAGAAACCAGATTAACCTTTTCCACAGTGCAATTTCCCTGCATGGCCCAACTTCCTCTCTCAGACCAAGTTGTGGTTTTGCTCTGTCCCTTAAGGGACAGTTAAGATTCTTTATAAAAGCGACAGCCTAAGCTACAGGGACTGTCCCTGCATCCAGGTACCCGCATATCCATAGGATGGATGGATGCAGGGAGGGATGAAGGAAGTCACTTGGGTTGAGGCAGCATGCCCAGCATGGTGACTGCTTTGTGGGTGCTTGAGGCCAGGCACAGCAGGGCAGTGAGCCTGGGACTGCTCTCCTGCCTGGTGCACTGCCCAGCTCTGAGGTGGGGGGCTTTGGCTGGGCAGGAGGAGGCAGAATTAGGGGAAAATTAGCTGCGGGAATCAGGCCCTTGGAGCTGCTTGAGGCACCAGCAAACGCAGCACCAGGTTCTGGTCTCACCGCCTCCCAGCTCTCCCAGTTCTGCTTTTTGGGGCACAGGCAGGGGAGCAGGAAGCCTGGCCCTGGCGCAGGCGCCTGCAAGAGAGCGTCAGAGCCGGGGGTGCCCCGGCTTTGTCACCAGAGGCGGCGGGGGACACACAGTGATGTCACGGCTGTGGCACTCGGCTCGCCGGCACCGAGCCCTGGGGAGCCGGGCAGGGACCTGGCTCCACTCCTAGAAGAATTACTGGAAACTGCTTTCTATAAGCAGATCCCACAAAGCAATTAAAAAAAAAAAAAAAAAAATCCCAACACGACACAACAACACCGAAAAGAAAAAACCTAAAAAAAGGCCGCGGAGGGCGAGACGCAGCCTCCAGCTCCTCCATCTCCCTGCACTCGGCGGGGGCCAAACAATGGAGAGCCGCAAAACACGCGGCAGGAAAACCAGCGCGGCTCCTCCTGCCGCCACGGGGCCACCCGGGGTCCCCGGCCACCCACACAGCTCTATGGGGTCACAGCCGGCCGCCTGCACGCCGTGCTGCTGCTGCCGTTTGCTTTGTGCCGTACCGGGGCTGTAGTGGTGCCACAGTGTCAGGATGGGGTTGGGAGAGCCACAGGGGCACGTCCCTGTACCCAGCGTGTGGATGCTCTGCTGCATGGGGTGAGGGTGCACAAATTCCAATGTGGGGATGTCCTGGGCTGCTCTATGGGGATGCTCTGGTCCCCACCGGGTGACACCCTGCTGTCTGGTACACAGCACCTGGTCCCTGATGCTCTGACCCCTATGAAGGGCCACAGCATGGGGATGCTCCTCCCCAGTGTGAGCCATTAGGGGGTAGCCAGAGGGTCTGACACACTCTGGTGTGTGTATACACCCGAATGGCATCCCTGCATCCCTCCAGCTGCCCCAAGGCCAAATCTCCCATCCTTGCTGCCTCCCACATGGCTCATGTCTGGGGCCAGCCCGATGTACCTCTCTGCTGTCCCAGTGGGGACACGGGAGGGAGGTCAATCCCAGCCATATACATTGCTGATCCTCTTCTTGCTCCCTACAGACCCCTGTCCCCATGCTGAATGTGTCCATCATACCACGAGCTGATAACTGCACCCGGCAAGCAGTGCTCATCCTCCAGTGCCCACAGTGCTCAGCCAGCATCACCTCCCCGTGCCAGGACCTCCTCATCCACACTGTGAGTGCCACAACAGACTCAAGGGAGGGGTTGGAGGGCCTGGGGGTGCCCCTGGGGTGCTTGGGTCCCCTCTCCTGGGGATGATGCTCGCAGCTGGGGGACAGCTGGCTGCTGGCAGCAGATCTGAGCGTGGGGCAGGCCAGGCAGCGAATGACGCATGGCGCTTGAAAAAGCTCCTGTTTCCTCCGGCTGCCGGGAGGAAGGTCAGCGATGGGGTTTGGCTCCAGCGAGCTGAGCCGGGGCCGGGAGCTTTGTTAGCAAAATAAACCTCCTGCTTTGTTTGCGGCTAATAATAAAGTGGGCCGAGCTCCTCGTGTGCTGACGGCCACCTAAAATCCCTGCAATGTGACCCCAAGCGCAATGGAGTCAGTGCTCTGGAGATGCCAATCCATCTGGGTTCAGAGCACTGCCCATGCCAGGAGTGGGGATCCTGCGTTTCCTGGTTGGCAGAGAGGGATGCATCTGTGTGCCCCGCTCTGCCTCAGCTCCTTGTGCTGCTCACCTGCAGGACGCCTGTCTGAGCCCCAAGGTGCAGGGCACGGAGCTGCCAGAGGCTGCCAAGGGAGATCTGCTGGACTGGGTGCAGAACACCTATAGGGGCATCACATCCTACAGCGAGCTGAAGGACCCACAGCGGATCCACCTCCACCTGGGCGAAAGTGCGGCGGGGCACAGGGAGCGGGGGGTGGGGGTTGTTGGGGAGGGGGGGACAACTGGGTGGCACTGGGGGTGATGAGATAACCACAGCATTCCTCCTGCTCCACTATGCTGGAAACACGCAGGGCGATGCTGCGGGCACCCTGAGTATGGTTGTCACATAAAACCATGACAATGATGCAGTTTTGGTGGCCATCAGCACTGCCTGCCTTCCCCACAGATGGCAGCAGCCCCACGAACTGCGTTCCCCAGAAGGACTTTGATGCCACGCCGCATCTTGAGGCTGAGGTCCTTTTTCGTGAGGTGAAGGGCTGCACCAGCAGCAGTGCCCACAATGCCAGGGCTGCCCACATTGTGCAGCTTCTGCACAAGCCCAGGTACTGGGAAAGAGGCCGGGGTCTCTTGTGGGCACTCCAAAAGGGGCCTAATGCTGGACTGAGGGTATCTCGTGGCTTTGCAGCTTGCCCATCACGGAGGTGAACCTGACCCTGAGCTGCCCCGAACAGCAGCCGAACAACCAGATCCTCCTCCTGCAGGGCCCAGCCAACCTCGCCTGGCTCCTGATGCTGAACAACTGCAGCCTCAATTTCCTGGTACGGTCCTCGTGGCACTTCCCCACTGCTGCCCCAATCCCTGTCTCCGCTCACACCCTTCTGCACCATCCCTGCAGACCTCCGGCACCTACAAGATCCTGCACATCCCCATGGGGCCACAGAAAGGGGAGCTGCTGCCCGACACAGAGGAGGGTCTCATCGCCAAAGCCTTTGAGAAGAACTACAGCATCATCGCCTCCTACTCCGTCATCCCCATCAGCCCCCACATCACACTGAAGATCCACGAGCGTGGTCAGTCCACAGCACATGAATGTGGTCAGGGGGTTTAAGTGGGGGGTCCTCACTCAGACCCCATGCCTTCTCCCTGCAGAGGTGCCGAGGAAGCTGCCCGCAGTGCCCACCCCATCAGCCCCTAGCCCTGACTTCCTCTCCAGCACGCTGCTCCTCTTGCTCAAGCCCTGGAAGTGCACAGATGACACCATGGAAATCGTCATCGCCAGGTCCCACCTGGAGGTGAGGGCACCTGCTCCAGGTGCTGAGAGGTGAGAGGAGGGCTGGCTGGGCACGCCAGAGGGAGTTGGGCACGATTGCTGCTTTTATTGTAGCCCCTCAAGGACGTGGTGAACATCACCCTGCGGGACATCAGCTGCCAGGCAGAGAAGAATGCCACGCACTTCATGCTGCACACCCTGCTCAGCAGCTGCGGCACCTTGGTGGAGAGCCACGGCCATGCCAAAAACGAGGTGAGCACAGCTGGCTGTGCTGCTGATGGGGAGACCATGGAGCCACCTCAACCCCATGGGGAGACCCCAGCAGTGGAGATGTTCGTGGGGACAACTCTATGGCCAGGCTGACCGAACCTTCCTCCTCTCCTCACAGCTCATCCTCAGCCTGTCCAAGGGCTCGGTGCTCCGGAGCGTGCGGGTAAGTGTTGGTGGCTGTGTCACCAACTGGGGGTGACACAGAGTAGTGGCTGACGCCGTCCCTACTTGCAGGTGGCCTTTCAGTGTCCGATCCCACGGGAGCTCTTCCTGCGCCTCTTCCCCACCGCCGACTTCAAGGCACCACAGACAGAGCTGGAGGTCAACAAGGAGGTGTTTGTGCAGGTACCCATGCGTGGGGCTCAGGCACCGGGGTGGGGACTGCACCGTGGGGCGACGGCATCCCTAATGGTCACCCGTCTTTGTGCAGGCATCCATGCACTTGGAGGACTACCTGGCCGACCCGCAGCTCAAGGAGTGTTATCTGATGGTCCCTGGCATGGATCCAATGCTGCTGGTGCAGGGCAACAAGGCGCAGAGCTCCAGTGTGGCCATGCTGGAGGAGCCCCCCAGCAACTGGACCAGGAAGGTCTGGCGCTTCCGCTTCACCTACACCGTCCCTGAGGGCAGGCACGTCCCTTTCTCTGCCACCCTCAAGTGCAAGGCTGGACTGCAGGTCAGCATCACCCCCATCTGGCACCACGGTCCCCCTAGGCATATCAGTGGGCTTATCACCAAGCTGGGAACAGCATTCTCGGTCCCCAAAGTCCTTGGGCAAAGGGCCCTGAACCACATCCCCATGGGATGGTGGCAATTGGGCTGGAATGTCCCCGTGTTCACCCCAATCCTCTGCCTGGCAGAACACCATCTTCGAGAAGGTTTTGGAGGTGAAGGTGAAGGACGTCCGGCGGCCACCTAACAGTGAGCTGGGGACACGGGGCAGGGTGGGGGGACACTGCTGGGTCTGGGGAAGGTACCCCCATACTGACGGCCTCATCCCACTGCAGACCAAGGGCTGGGGCTGTCCGCTGTGCTGGGCATCACCTTTGGAGCCTTCCTCATCGGCGCACTCCTCACTGCTGGGCTCTGGTATATCTACTCGCATACCCGTGAGTATCTCTGGGGGGAGTTGGGGGGGCCCACACACACGTCCCATTGCTGGGAAAGCCATCCTCCTCCCCACTCCCAACCCTCCCGCATGTCCCTGGGAGGGGGGCTGTCATGTTGCTATCACCCAGACATCCCTTTTGGCCGAGGCATCTCATGAGTGCGAGCCAGCTGCAGTCCCCAAGGTCCCCACAAAGCCCATCACCATCCCTCATCTTATCGGGGGTGGGGAGGGGGTGCAGAGCCGTGTTGGCCGGGGAGCACGAGCCCTGCGCCAGGGACGGGTCCCTTATCAGGGCTGGAAAGGTCACGTTCAGGATGAGCCATCCCCTGCCGGCCCTGCCGGCGCCGAGTTTTGTTTTTTGGCCCTACATTATTTTTCTTTCCCCCCCCCTTCCTACCCCCCTCCCTGGACCGGCGGCGTAATGCAGGTCCCATCTCCAAACTGCAGCCGGTTTCCACCACGGCGCCAGCCTCGGAGAGCAGCAGCACCAACCACAGCATCGGCAGCACCCAGAGCACCCCCTGCTCCACCAGCAGCATGGCCTGACCCCCTCGGCCCCCCCCTTGGCCATCACCCCACCGCCACCGCCAGCTCAGCCTCCATAAAAGCCTTTTTCTGCCCCAAACCTCAGGCTGAGCCCGGAGGGGGCCATGGCCCCATGCTGTCCTGGGGGCCACCCTTACTCATTCAGTGAATGCTTTGGCCCCCCCCAAAGGCAGCCCAGGGCGAGGAAGGGGGGGCACCATGCAACACCCCTCCAGGGGGTTCTCAGCATATGGGGGTGTTGGGGGAAAAACGTGGGTGCCCCCAGGATGTGTCCTGGCACTTAGGCAGTGTTTGCACCCCAGCACCCACAGACCCTGCATTACCCTTCCCCTGATAACGTGGTGCAAATGCACGCTGAGCAGCAGCCGGGGGGCAGTGGGTGCAGCCCCGATGGGGTGACCCCACCCCTGGCATTGTTCCATGGAGGCAGTGGGCAGCACTGGGAGCAGCAAATGGTTTATTGGGGATGGGGGCTGGGGGCCAGGCAGCACCACACTGCTGCCCCCTCAGCCCGGGGCAGTGCACAGACAGCAACCCGGGCCCCTCCAGCCCAGCTCCAGGTCAAAGTTACAAACTTAATAATAATAAAAACCTAAACTACATTAAATTAGCGGCACAGAGCCTTGAAGCATCACTCATATCTAGGGCACAGAGCACCCACAGACCCCCAAAACATGCCCTGGGGGGGTCAGGGAACTCACAGTCCCCCGGCCAGAGCCCGGGGGCACCCTGAGTCCATCTCATCACAAGTGTCCCCTCCTCTTCATGGGGACAGCCTCTCCCTGGGCTGGCACAAACAAAAGGCACTGGGGTGAGAAGGGGCAGGGACAGCCCAGCTCGGGGGGGGGTCCTATCCGCCTCCACGCATCATCCAAAAATTCAAGTCCAAGGAGGTGCAGAGCCCCCATCCCCACTACTGAGACAGCGTGGGGTCCAGCAGTTTGAGGACCCCTCCAACCAGGTGCAAGCTGCCAGTGACAAGGACGCGGATGGTGGCCGCCTCCTGCAGCAGAACGGCCCCGCTGGTGGCCACGGGGTGGGGGTGAGCCCCCACCTTCGAGGCAGGCAGGGGCAGGTGGGGATCCCGGCCCTGCGTGATCCATTGCAGTGCGTGGGAGATGCAGGGGAAGACGAGGGAGGTGGAGTTGAGCGGCCGCTCGGACGGGGGCACCAGGAGCAGGGCTCCCCGCAGGGGGTCCGGTTGCAGCAGCCCCCCCACCTCCAGGGGGGCTGGCAGCCAGGGACCCCCCTTCTCCTCCATCAGCCGCGTCCACGTCTTCTGGTTCTCCACACAGCGTGTGAGGGCGTTCTCCAGTGTCACATTGAAGTTTTGTTGGTCTGTGGGGGGGATGGGGGCAGGTTCAGCGATGGGGTTGGGGTGGAAGGGCCACCCCCAGAGTTTGGTACTCACCTGCATTAGCAGCCACTGACACCTCTGTGAAGTTGGGGCAGAAGACAGCATAGTCAAAGTGGCAGGGCTGTGGGGAGAAGGGAGATCAGCGGGGCAGGGGACGCAGAAACTCCCAGGACAGCCCTCCCCCAGTGCTATCATGATGCCACCAGGACCTGTCCCAGCCCAGCAGGGCTTGGTGGGGGTGTGTTAGGACTGCAGCTGGGGCTGTGAGTCCCTTGGAAAGGAGGGGGGCATTGATAACAGGAGAGTAGGACAGACAGACAGATGGACAGATGGACAGCAGCTCCACCACGTGGCTCCCAGCACCCGCAGCAAAGTGGGGCCCAAGGACAGCACCTCCCCCACAAGCACCCCAAAACCTCACCAGCAGCAGCTTCAGTAGCGCAGCTGTGTCCCGGTCCCCCGTAGCATTGAAGAGCAGCACCCGCACCTCAGAGCCACTATAGGGACAAGGGGTGGGTGGGTGCTACCCTACGCCTCATATCCTTGACCCCCTCCCCGTGTCCCCTCCTTACTCCTGGGGTTTGTCCTCATTGAGGGCCGCCTGGCGAAACCAGCGGACGCAGGCTTGGATGCTGCTGGTGGTGTGAGCCCCATCGATGTACCACGTCACGGGGCCGTGCGGCAGCACCTGGGTACGGCCAGGCCACTCTGTGTCCCGCAGCCCTGGGAGGGAAGGCACAAAGCAAGGCTAGATCCTGCCACCCCCAGCACCAGGACATCACCGCAGGGGGATCACAGTCAAGCACAGCCCCTCACTGCCCCTACTGCACCTTGGATCATGGCATCACTGGGGCAAAACGTGGGTGCCAGTGGCACCGAGCGCTGTGCCGACAGCTCGGCTCCGGGCAGCACATCCTGCAGCACATCGGTACCTGCTGGGGGTGGCACACTGTGAGCCACGATAGCACCGCTCAGGCCGTGTCCCCCCAGCCCCACGTGGGGCCTTACCCTCATAACCACGCCGCTGCAGCCACGTCCGTGAGAGCTGCAGAGCCAGAGCAGCATTGGAGCGCTGGTGGCTGCCCGCCAGCCCCAGCTCCAGCACCCGCGTCCCCGCCTCAAAGGCATCCAGCTCGGGGCAGAGGTACAGAGGGCACTGTGAGGACAGGAGGCTGAGCCTGGACATATGGAGGGCCCCCATCCCGAGGCTCAGCCCCACGCTGTCCCCTGAGCTCACCCCACACTCCCGCGCTCGGTCCCGGAGCACTTCCAGCGGTTGCTCGGGCTGCGGCACGGTGAACGCCGGCACGCCGGGCTGTGGAAGATGGGTGGTTAGGATCCAAACACAGGGCTGGAATGGGATGCAAGGCCTTCTTCCTACCTTAAAAATGCCACCTTTCTGCCAAGCGATCTTCTCCACTGTGTCCCCCAGGATGCTGGTATGGTCGATGCCCAATGAGGAGACGCCGCACACCACCGGCGTCCTGGGGACACAGCGTGAGCACGGCGGTGACACAGGGATGGCACAGACAGAGGGTGCAGAGCCCACCCCGCTCCTACCTGATGATGTTGGTACAATCGAAGGCACCACCGATGCCCACCTCCACCACCGCCAGGTCCACCTGTGCGCACAGAACAGTTCCAGCTGGAAAAGAGCTCTCAGATCCCCATGTCTGACTCCAACCCATCCCCACAGACCACATCACTCGGCACCACACCTCCATGGGGACAATGACCCTGCCACCGCCAGGCAGCCCTTCCCAGCATCGCACCACCCACCTTCTCCTGCAGGAAGACATGGAAGGCCATGATGGTGAGGAAGCGGAAGTACGCCGGCATGTTGGTCTGAGCCTCGTCCTGCAGGACGGGGGTATCAGGGGGGGCTATAGGGGGCTCCCCACACCACAGCGAGCCCCGGGACCCCCCCATGCCCCACCTTGGTGTCCCACAGCCGGCGGTACACCAGCCAGAAGTACTTGCTGAACAGCTCCTTGCTCAGCGGCTGCCCATTGATACGGATCCGCTCGCGCACCTGCACCAAGTGGGGGGAGCTGGCGGGGGGGCAGGACCAGGGGGCACTTTCAGCTCAGCCCCAGAGCCCCCCCCCAACGCCCCCCAACGCCCATTGCCCACCTGTAGAAGCCAGTCCGCAGCCCATAGCCACGCAGGATGCGCTCGGTGAAGGCACAGGCTGAGCCCTGGTGATGCACCGACATCAGCGCAGCAATGGGGGGAGGGGAAGGCAAAACGGCAGCGTGTCCCCTCCACGACCCCCAGCACGCACTCCCACTCACCTTGCCCTTCGTCCCCGTGACGTGGATGATGTTCAGCCGATCCAGGTCCTCGACCTGCGGGGTGAGCGCAGCGTGAGACCCCGGGGCCGCGTGTCACGTGGGGAGCCGGACACGTGCGGGGACACGGATGACACAGCGGGACCCGCGGGCTCACCTGCAGCCCGCTCCTCTCCAAAAAACCCTGCATGGCCTCCAGCTGGGCCCGGGGGTCCCCGCGTTCCCGCTTCACCTGCTCCAGGTAACTGGCGTTTGTCTGCAGCGTGTTCAGCGTGCGGATGGCATCCTGGAAGGAAGCGGCGGCTGCGGCGCCCATCACGGCGGTCTCGGCCCCGCGCCCGCTGCGGCGTGAGCGCGGAGGGCACCGACCTCTTATCGCCGGGGCGGCCCCCGGGGGCACCCACGTGCTGCACCCGCACGGGACGGCCCCGCACCGCGCTTCTCCCCCCGCCCCGCGCTCACCGTTACCGGAGCGCCGCCGGACGTCCCGCTGCCCCCGCTCCCCTCCCGCGGAACGCCGGCTCGGAGCGGCCCCCGACCCCGCAAGCCCGCTCCCTTCCGGCCCGACTCCGTGCGCCGTCCCTCCCGCAGCTCCCCCTTCCCCCCCCCCCTCCTGGGCTCCAACTACCTGATAGTCCGTTGCAGGGACGCGGGCGGGGCGCGTGCTGAGCCGCCTCCCGCCGCTCCCCGCGGCTCCCCGCAGCGCCCCGCGCAGCGCGCGCAGCCCCCGCGCCACCATCGCGCCGCGCCGCCCCGCACTCCGCGCGCGCCGCCGTCCCCGCGGCCGCAGCCCCGCCCCGCCGCCATCTTTAGAAAGGGCAAAGCGCCGCCACGTCGGAGCGGGCGACGTGACGGAGAGGGGCGGCGGGGCGGCCCCCGAAGGAGCGGTGTCGCGCATCCCCCCAACCCCCCCCGCCCCCCATGGAGCCGCCCCGCAGCCCCATCCCGCCGCACCGCTGCGGATCCCAGCAAAAGCAGAGCGGAGCCACGCGTCCCCCTCCGCCACATCCCTGCCCGCAGAGCGGCACGTCCGCAAGAGGGGAAAGGAAGCAGCCCTTTGGAACAGGACCGTGTTTATTCACAACTGACGGAGCAATCTGGCTTATTGCTTGCACCCAACTTCATTTGTCCAAAAAAAAAAAAAAGAAGACACATCAAGTCCTTTCCGTACCCAGACATTATTCCAGAGCCCTCCACCATATCAGATTTACCTTATAGGTGTCCTTTATCATCCTCACCCACTGCTCTCACACCAGCACAATGCCCACTGCTGTGCGCCCAGAGCTGCTCTGCTACCTCCTGGTTAACGGACAACTTATCAAATGGCAAAGGTTATAACCCCCTGCGTTTTGTACACGTTGCTCATTGGAAAGTCTGGGGATTTGTGTGGCTTGGGAAAAGGCAGCCAGCTCCAGCTGGAGGTCAGTCATGGAAGACAAGGTGGGAAGGAGCTCTTGCTCTGCACCAGTCAGTCCCAGTGCTCCGGCAGTGCCTGGTGTGCAGCTGGTCTCTGGGGAAGGCAGCAGCCCTGCAACAGACTGTGCACAAATGGCTGCAGGACAGAGGAGTGCACACAGGAGTGTTTGTAAGCAGAGCTGCCCTCGCAGCTCCAGCACAACCATGCTGTGAAGCACTGCAAGGACAGGCGGCTGCTTCCAAGCAAAGGCCAGAGCACAGCCTGAGTACAGCAACTCCAG